GACCTTGCACTTTAAATCCTTTTTTTTTAAAGCATATTAACCGGAATAGCCTTATACCGTGCTTATCCCTTTTGCTTGCAACAATTATAAGCCCGGCAACTTTTAAACCCTTTAACGTAAAGTAAAAGGCTTAGCAATACGGATTTATTCCTTTTTTATTACTTTTATTAAATCGTTCCTAAACGCGCTTTTCCAAGCGCATTTATCCTCCTTTTTTTTTCCGCGATTTTTTTACGGAAAGATTTTTACGCTTTTAAAATTTCCTTTAACAAAGTTTTTTTTGCCAAAGCAAATTTTGTTGTTAATTCCGAACGTTGCTAAAAACCTTTATTAAATTTTACTTTTTTAATTTTTACGTTTTTACGCTTTTAAAGCTTTTAACCCCTTATTTTTTACCGCTTTACTTTTACGAATTTCCGGTTGCTATTAATTATAAGTGGTACGAATAACGACCTTTTCGTAATAGCGTTATTTAAAAATTAAAAGCAATGGCTTACGTAATTTACGGCGCTTCGTTAAAACGCATTAATTTTAAAAATTTGGAATTAAATTAACCTTAATTTAAAGTTCCCGGACAACGTACAGGCCAACGAAACCCTAAATTTCGATTTTTTTGCAATAAAGGCCCGGGCTAAATACGTTAAAAATTATAAATTTAAGCGTTTGGCTTAACAAACGATCCTTTTAACCGAAAAAAAAAGGTTCGTTTAAAAGCTTGGCAAGGCAAAAGTAAAGCCACGCGAAAATTTAATTCCGAGCTTTCCCAAGCCCTTTCGGTTTTTACCGAAAGTAATTTTAAAGCCAAGCATAAAAAAGCGTTTAAAACAAAGGATACCGCAAGCAAAACCGCTTCGAAAAAAATTACAACCCTTTTTAAATGGATTAATTTTTTCGTGGATTTTGTCGCGCTTGCAAACGCGCAGCTAAAAGTTTAAGCCAATAATTACGTTACTTTTCGTAGCATTATTATTTGCTTAAAAGCGTTTTACGCTTTCATTTCCATAATGGAAATTTAAATAATTTTTTAAAAATACCGCAATACGCTTAAAAAAACCGCTAATATTATAAATATTAACCAATGGTTTTTAAAGTTTTAGGCAATTTTTATTTAAGCCAAAATTAAAAACGTTTTTAAAGTATAAAGCTTTACGCCCATGTTTAACTTTTTTAAGCATATAAAACGCTTTAACCCTTTTTAAACAAAGCGTTACCGTTAAAAAATAGCTACGGGCAATTTTACGGAAAAAATGAATACTTTGGTTACCAAATTTTTAACGATCCTTTTTTAGCATTGCATTAATAATTTGGGCACCAAAAAAAAGCTTGCGTTTTTAACTTTCGAAAGCGCATTTGGGAATAAAAACGAAAAAGCTAAAAGCATTTAGCAAAATAACGCGATAACGTACAAATGCCCGGCTTGCATTTAAAACCATTTTTAAAAGCTAAAGGATTGCTAAAAGCTTGTTTACGTGCTTACCGGCGATTTCGAACGCTTTCGCAACAAGTTAAGCAACGAAAAATGCAAAAAAATTAAATTTTTTTTGGAAAAAAACCGCTAAAAGTTATTTAAAAAATCCTTTTTTTTTAAAAACAAATTTAAAAATTCCGTTTAAAAAAAACAAGCCGAAAGCGCGTTAAATTTCGATTCCTAAGCTTTAAAAAAAAAGTGGGATTTAAACGCGGCCGTGCTTAAAATGCCTTTATTTTAAAGCGTTTTTTTAGCTTTCGATATTATAAAAAACATTTATTTCGAAAGCACGCTATTCGATAATTGCGGTTCGTTTTATATCGTTAATAACAAAAAACGTTTTAACAAAAGGTCGTTCCAATCGTTAAACGGTACCGAAACGGTCCAATGCGGCACTTAATACTTTCCAATTTTGAAACGTAGCATTCGTACGTTTTTTGGCTTTTTAAACGGAAGCGGAAATTTTAAGCTTTACAACGTTATTTTGGTAAAAAGCTTTTATATTAATATTATTTCGAAAGCCCGTTTAAACGCCAAAAAAGTGTGGTTTTGCGGGAAAAACGCGATTTTGCGCATTGGGGAAATTACTAACGGGAAAGTAATTAAGCGTTTTTAGCGCAAAAATAACGTAATATTTTATAAATACAAGCTTGTTGCTATTTACTTTGTATTAATTACGTTGCAATTTTTTCCAAAAAATACGGTTTTAGCTTTTGCAATTAAAAAAATTTTACGCCGCAAACGTATTACGCATACGTAGCGTTCATTTTCGAACTTTACGAAACCGCAAAAAGATACCGCCGACCTTTGGCATTTGCGCAATGGTTATTTAAAATTATAAACGCTGGAAGCTTTCGTTTGGAACGTTCGGAACGTTAAAATTAAAGGATTTAAACGGATTGAATGCAAAGCATGCGCAATAATTTATGCTATAGCCGTTGTTTCCAAACGCTTTATAAAAAGGGCCATGCGCCCCTTTTGGAAGGTTTGGTTTAATTTATTCAATTACCTTAAATTAAAGTTAAAAATAAATTGGGTTTTGCTATTAATAAATAAATACAGCGGCAAAATTTGGAGCTTTACATTCCCAAACAAAAAGGAACCGACGGTTATTAAGGTTTTAAAAGAATGGAAAGTGTTACGGTACGCGTCGGGGCACTTAGGGAGGAACTTAAGGCCGCATTTTTAGCGCGCCAACGTTACGCTTACAAAACCGCGACAAAACGCCAAAAACGCTTTGCCCAAATAGCTTCCTTTTCGTGCAACAATAAAGCCTTTTTTATAACAATAAAGTATAAGCCGTAGCAATTTGTTGCATTTTAAATTTTCGGGACCCGATATTAACATATTTCGTTTTTTTTTTGTTAATAACTTTGTAAAACGGTAGCATACCTTTTCGCTTACAATCGATTAACGTTAATACTTACCCTAAATTTTGCCGTATAATTTCGGGAAAATACTTTTACTTTTCCGATTTAGCTTTTTTAACCAAGCAACCCGCTAGCGAATTACCGCTACGGTTATACCATGCTTACCGTACCCGACGCCCCCAAAGCAGGCTTTTTGGGCCCAACAACAACAATCCTACGAAACGCCGTTTTTTTATTTCCAACTTTGCATTTTATACGCGAAGCAATTTAAAACGATTTTAACGATTACGCCGTTTTATATTTTGCTTTGCATTTGGAACGTTTTAATAAAGCCCAAGCCCAATTTAAATATATTTTTCGGGTTATAAAAACCCGTTTTCGAATTATTAATAAATTGCTAGCGATATACCGTTAAAACGCCAATACCGCCCACGTTATAATTTCGAACCAAAAAATAACAATTTGCAAATTCGAATTTAAATTCAATAATTATTTAACCAAGCCATGCTTATATTAATTACAAATACGCCCTTTTTAGCGCAACCTTTTGGGGCCGCCGCGTTATCGCTAGCAATCCGCCCCTAAACGGTTACTTTCGAAATTTTTAAAGGCATAAAAATAAACCAAATCCAGCGATAAAAGCATTATACCAATTAGCGCTTTTTGTTTAAAGTACAAATGGGATTATACCGGGCCGCTTTTTTAACGCCATTGAAACGCGTTTTTTTTTGTTTTAACATTTAGGCAACGACGTTTTTGCTTTTATAAAAACGAAAATCGACCAAATTGTTACGGCCGGCAATAACGTTTTTTAATGGCCCGTTAGCTAGCGTAATTATTTAAACGTTATTAAAACGTTAAATTAAATTTATATTACCACCAATATATTAACAAAAGCTAATTGGGATTTTAAATTATTTATTTAAAGCAATTCCTTTTTCGGCAATTTTATCGGCAATTTTATTAAGCTTAGCGATATGTACAATTTGCTTAACAATTTACGAATATTGGCTTTTAAGCAAAAAGTAAACCGCCCATTGCATAAAACCATTACGTTAATTGTAAAACGCCCGGAACCTAACAATTTCGAAAAGTAAATAAGCTTGTTTCGGAACCTAACCAATAACATTGCTAACGACATTTTCCGGGGCAAGCAAAACGCTAACGCTTATCCTTTAGCACGCTATCCTAACGTTAACGATGCGCTGGGACCGGCTTAGCATTTAAACGTTATAAATTTCGATAAAATTACGATAAGGCCTTAACCCTTTTTTACTAACGCCCGAAAAAAATATAGGCGCATTAATAACCTGTGCTTTTATTGCGGCGGGGTAAAGCATTAAATAACCGCTTGCATAAAGAAAAGAAAGCCAAAAAAATAAGCTTTGGGCATAATTGCTTTTAAAGCCATTAGCATTTTGCCAACGATTCCCCAAAAAAACAAAAGTATATTTACATTTAATAAGACCCAATTTTACTTTTTTATTTTACAACGAATTTTTTGCCGAAAGAACGCCATTAACCCGGTGCTGCACCCTTTTAAATACCGGATATTTTTTATAAGCATTTGTTAACGATATTTTTGCGCATAATTACAACCTGTTACGCTTTGCTTTGCCCAAGCTTATTTTTTTAAAATTGGCTAATGGCAAAGTTACGGGCTATTTTTGCAAATGCGTTAAAATGCGTTACCGTATCGCTTGCTAAATAAAAACGCTTACCATGTACATTTGGCTATTAAGAACGGGAAGCTTTAACATTATATTAAGGCTTTTTTAATTACGCCATTACAACCCCCATATTAATTAAATAGCGGGTTTAATAATTATGTACGGCATTACGTTATTAAAATTAAATTTAAACGCTAGCAACCCATTACGCAACCGTTTAAAGGACAACGATAACAAATTCGACCCCGCAAATATACGCATGCTTAACGCTTCCAATTTTATGCTATTTTGCAAACAAAAAAGCGTGCAATTTAAACGAACAATTATGGCAAAGCTTTACGTTAAAATTTGCCCCAAGCTTTTAATACCTTTAATAAGCGCCGACCAGTTTGTTAACGATACGTTAATAAAAATCCTTTGCTTTATTTTAATTTTGTCCGATAAAATTTTTCGGAATATGCTGGAACCACGTTTAACCGCATTCCAAAATTGGGTTAAAAAGGCATTACACTTTTAGCGCATTTCCAACGATAATATCCAAAAGTACCTGGATAGCAAGCCCCCCGTTACGATAAAAGAGATTTTACAGCGCTTTTTTTACGAATTCCGCGATTTAACGTTATGCTTTTTTCCCCAAAACGCTAACAAATTGCTACCGTATTGCCTTTCCAATTACAAAATCGAACTATTTCCAAGCAAAACGCCCTTTTACCATTATAACAAACTTATATCCCAAAAGGAGCTTCGAATTGTTAAAAAATATTTAAATAAACATTTGGCGAAAGGCTTTATACGCAACAATATATCGCTAGCGGTTGCTTCGGTTTTTTTAGCAAAAAAGCCCGGGGGGGGGGGAATTCGCGTTTGTATTAATTACCGGGGTTTAAATAACGTTACCGTAAAAAACAGGTATTTTATCCTTTTAATTAAAAAAATATTAAACGCCCTTTCGAAAGCCAAGTATTTTACTAAATTAAACATTATTGCGGCGTTTAACCGCTTACGAATTGCTTTAAAAAACGAATGGAAAATAGCGTTTATTATTAAATTCGGCTTTTTCGAATGCTTAGTAACAAATTTCGGTATAACAAGCGCTTTTAGCTTTTTCCAGTACTATATTAACCGCATTTTATTAAATGCATTAAACCGTTACGCTATAGCATATTTCGATAACGTTTTTATTTATAGCAAAACGTAAGCGAAATACCGGCGTTACGTTTGCGTAATGGTTTAAAAATTCGCCGATACGGGCTTTACTATTAACATTTGGAAATGCAAATTTTTAGTACAAAAAACCAAATACTTTGGTTTAATTATTTTAATTACGGGAATTTGCATAAACGAAAAAAAGGTTAAAGCAATTCGTTAATAAAAATAGCTTATAACTTTAAAAAAATTTCGCCGTTTTATAAGCTTTACTAACTTTTATCGCCGGTTTATTAAAGGTTTTTCCGCTATCGCCAAACCTTTTTATTTATTAATAAGCGAGCAATTATAAATGCGCTAATAATTTGCCGAAGCAACGGTAGCTTTTTACCAATTTAAAACCGCTTTTTTTTTGAATATCGTGCTTGCACATTACGACCTAACCTTTAAAACAATCGTAAAAGCAAACGCTTTCGATTAGGCCACGGGCGGGGTACTATCC